TTTTCTGACAACATAGTGTAAGCTGAACTTTTTTTTGCACAAATTAGACCTGAACCCAATCCCCCCCCCCCCCCCCCCAGACAGAATTCATTTTCTGAAAGCAAAGGCCCTGGAGAATAAATTGGTGGTAGTTGCTTTTTCTCTCTGCAGGAGCTTCCTGTAACCACTGCCCAAATAAAGACCAAAAATATTGAAAAAAAAAAACCAAAATAATATTTACTACTTTTGCTAATACAGTAAAACATCCAATTATTAAAAAAAAAAAAAAAAAAAATCTAATTTCTTCATAAATTTGGGTCTGGTGAAAAAAAAAAAAATCCCCAAAAAGTGTATATTAATGGTTTATTTGAAAATTCCAGCGTCTACAAACTGGTATATATACTGGATTGTATACAGCTGTAATGTAATGCAGTGATCAGCGACTTATAGTTGGACTGTGATAGTGTGGCAGGCAATCTGGAGCTAACGGACACTGACATTGTTAGTGACACTAATACAGTGAGCAGATATACTGTACGCTGTACTAATGACACCAGCTGAGAAGGGGTTAACATCAAGGGACAATCAAAGGGTTAACTGTGTGCCTAACAAGTGTAATGTGTGTGATTTCACTCAGAGATCTGGCTGCCTTTTCACTCTTCTTTTCAGGGAGAAGAAACAGCCAGATCACTGTACTGTGTACATAGAGTTCTGTGTATTTGTACACACAGAACTCTGTGCTATGATTGACACAGCCGATCGGCAGGTTTCAGCCCAAATCACTGCCTGAAATCTGCTGACAAACTTGTGCCAAGTTCAATCTCAGAACGGGTCAACCAAAAGCGGGAGAAGGCCGGCAATGTACATTTACTGTGAGTGGGCTGTAAGTGGTTAACTGCTTCCCTGCCGCCCTATAGCAGAAAATACTGCAGAAATACTGTTGCAGGGCTGCGCAAAATCACGTATGTATACGTGATTTTACATTTCTGGGTAGGAGGCGCGCGCCACCCTACTTGTGCCGCAATTAGCGACTACAGATGTCGATCACCGGGACCCGGCGCTTGCCTAGAAACCGTGACAGGGGAGAGTCCTGTGTGTAAACAACACAGGTCTCTCTGCTGCTAGCAGTAACATGCTTCTGTGTATTTCTCTGCACAACAGAGAAATACATACTCGCTTTTTTTCCCCTGTTAAAACAGCACACAGTTAACCCTTTGATCGCCCCAGATGTTAACCCCTTCCTGCCCAGTGTTGTCAGTACAGTGTCGGTGCTTTTTATTAGCACTGATCAATGTATTAGTGTCATTGGGATGTCAGTGGCAGTTAGTTCCCCCCCAGTGTCAGAATGCCTGCCGCAGTCCCGCTATAAGTCGCTGATCGGCTCCATTACTAGTATAAAAAAATAAAACCCCAATATATATACCGCCATTTGTAGACGCTATAACTTTCACGTAAACCATTTAATTTACACATATTAGGATTTGTTTTTAGCAATGACAGGGAGCGGAATACATTTTGGACTAAAATTATGATGAAATTTGATTTTTTTTTTTTTTTTTTACTGGACATGTTTAATAGCAAAATGTCAAAAATATATATTGTTGGTATTTTTTTGTTTATAGCGCAAAAAAGAAAAAACCGCAGAGGCAATCAAATACCACCAAAAGAAAGCTCTATTTATGGGGGGAAAAAAAGTACATACATTTTATTTATGTACAGCGTTGCATGACCGCGCAATTGTCAGTTAATGTAACGGACCGCAAAAAATGGCCTGGTCAGGAAGGAGGGTAAATTCTCTGGAGGGCAAGTGGTTAAGGAGGTATTAGGGGGCTACTGAATGCCTAATGTCACTTCTGCACCCATAAAGCACAGACCATTCGCTGCTCCTCTCTCTCTTTTTTGAGCAGGAAGACTGGTCTTGTCTCCGCCCCCTCCTGTAGTTTTCTGCAGGTAACCTGTAGTGGGTGGGAGCTTGCTGGGCTCCTCTCACACCTCTGCACTGCCAATACACACCGTGTTCCAATTTATTATGCAAATGATATTTTTCTCATTTCCCTAAATAATTGATGTAAATATCAGTCGGCATAATTCTCAGGTTACAACTATAAGAGAACAATTCACATTTTATTGAACAAACCTCCTAATGATAACAGGATTTTTGTTCCAAATTATTCCGCACAGGAAGTTTCAAAACACTTTATAGGTTGTAAAGAACTGAAAATTGTCATTTGTTGTGTTTGCAGCATATTTACTGAAATCAAAAGCTATTTCAATCAAACTTTTAACAACATTTTAACTTTGTAAACATTTGAAGCGGTCACGTTACATTGTAACATAGGAGCCCTTATCTGATAGCAGATCACAAGTCTTGCATCCATTGAACTTGTGAGTTTTTGGACAGTTTCTGCTTGAATTTGTTTGCAAGATGTCAGAATAGCCTCCCAGAGCTGCTGTTTGGATGTAAACTGCCTCCCACCCTCGTAGATCTTTTGCTTGAGGATGCTCCAAAGGTTCTCAATGGGATTGAGGTCTGGGGAGGATGGAGGCCACACCATGACTTTCTCTCCTTTTATCCCCATAACAGCCATTGATGCAGAGGTATTCTTTGCAGCATGAGATGGTGCGTTGTCATGCATGAAGATGATTTTATTACGGAAAGCATAGTTCTTCCTTCTGTACCAGGGAAGAAAGTGGTCAGTCATAAACTCCACATACTTTGCAGAGGTCATCTTTACACCTTCGAGGACCCTAAAGGGGCCGACCAGCTCTGTTCCCATGATTCCGGCCCATAACATGACTCCAGCACCGCCTTGCTGACGTCACAGCCTTGTTGGAACAGGGTGGCCGTCCACCAACCATCCACTACTCTATCCATCTGGACCATCCAGGGTTGCACGGCACTCATCAGTGAACAGAACTGTTTGAAAAAATTAGTCTTCATGTATTTTTCTGCCCAATGCAGCCGATTCTGCTTGTGAGCATTGGTTAGTGGTGGCCGAACAATAGAAGGTTTATGCACAGTTGCAAGACTCTGGAGGACTCTACACCTTGATGTCCGTGGGACTCCAGAGGCACCAGCAGCTTCAAATATCTGTTTGCTGCTATGTAATGGTATTTTAGCAGCTGCTCTCTTGATCTGATGCATGGATCTGGCAGAAATCTTCCTCAATGTGCCTTTATCTGCACAAACCCGTCTGTGCTCTGAATCAGCCACAAATCTCTTCATAGTGCGATGATCACGCTTACGTTTTCGTGAAATATCGAATGTTTTCATTCCTCGTCCAAGGCATCGAACTATTTCACTCTTTTCAGCAGCAGAGAGATCCTTTTTCTTCCCCATATTGCTTGAAAATGGTGCTCTGCTTAATAATGTGGAACGCCGTCCTTTAGTAGTTTTTCCTTAAATTGGGCTCACCGGCCAATCTAATTATCACAGGTGTCCGAGATTGTTTTCAGTGATCAAAAGAGCCCTGGCACACAATGCCATCCATGAGTTACACTGAAAAACAAAATATTTAATCTTTGTGACACTTAAATAGAATTTGCATAATAATTTGGAACGCGGTGTAAAGCACACTGATGATGTCACTGCTACTTTTACAAGCTAATAACTGGGTTTGTAAATATGGTGCACACAGAGTGGAGTGATAGGGTTCATGGCTATTAAGAAATATATTTAAATTAAAGCTTTGGGGGGCTTTTTTATGCCAGTGAGGTGCGGAAACTTGTCACGGTTGCAGTTGATAAGCTGCATTATTGAAAGTAATCAAGCAGAATTGTCACAATGGATTCTCCTACCGCGTTGCAGCGACAATCCCAGAATCTCCGGTGATACAATGTAATATTGGAACCCGTACATAGACAATAAATATCTTTTTAATAAGCTCAGCCCTAACCGACCCTGATCTGAAATGCGGAATATTTTTAGGTGGACTTGAGTCCATTGATTTTTGAATAAAAAAATAAAAAAAAACCTAACTTTTGGATTTAATAATTAATACCTCCTCCAAGCCCACGTAGTCTCTGTGGTGGTCTATTAAATTTTCAGCTTCAGCCTGGCGCTGTTTCTACGTCTCGTATTGAAAGCAGAGATATATTTAATTAATAAGCGCGTTGTTTAAAGTCCTGACAAGACCCCGCTTGGCCTTTGAAAGTTCTGAATTTTACGAGGTCAGGCTTCCTACTAAAGAAAAAAAAAAATGTCTACTTTTAGTTTTTAGAACATTTGCGAGGTGGACAAGGCAGAAGCCAATCAGAATGTAAAAATGTTGGAAGAGCTAGCCAATCACAACAGTGCGTTCACAGCACTGAACCAACAGCCAATGAGAACATTGGAAAATTCACAGGATATGATATCTGTGTTCACAAATCGCACAGCTAAGTATTGGGATACTATGGGAAAAAAATGACACTTTAGGGGCCCATTTACCTTCTGCGGTAAAGTGCTTTCTAAAATGTGCATTGCAGTCAGGGGTGGACTGACAACTCATGAGGCCCCTGTGTCATTGCCCACACTCTAAGCACACCCAAAAAAAGCCTATAAAAAAGGTACCAGGGGCATTTCATGGGCATTTCAGCTCTCACCCACTCACAGTGACTCGCGAGCAGGGGAGGACTGACAACTCATGGGGCCCCCCGGGCAATAGGGGATCATGGGGCCCCTGTGTCCTTGCCCACACTCAAAGCACACCCAAAAAAAGCCCATAAAAAAGGAACTGGGGCATTTCATGGGGCCCCCTACTGACCCCGGGCTCTCGGGCAGTGCCCGAGTGCTCGAATGGTCAGTTTGCCCCTGATTGCAGTGCCGTTCATTTTGAATCGCACACCCACAAACCACAGTGCGTTGTGGTGCAATGTGTTCCCAATTTCACAACGCATCTGATTTTCAGTACGTTTTGGTGGCTTGGTCTCAATGGGCTACCCGTCACTTTTTCAGTTAAAGCAGAAAAAATGCATCCCTTTAAATACTATGGAACTCTTCACACACCTCAGTTGCATTTTTAACCACTTAATGCCCACTCGCGAGCAGGGGTGGACTGACCATTTGGAAACTCGGGCACTGCCCGAGGGCCCCGGGGTCAGTAGGGGGCCCCATGAGATGCCCCTGGTACCTTTTTCATAGGCTTTTTTTGAGTTTGGGCAAGGAGACAGGGGCCCCATGATCCCCTATTGCCCGGTGGCCCCACGAGTTGTCAGTCGGCCCCTGCTCGCGAGTCACTGTGAGTGGGTGGCAGCTGCAGGCTTGGCTAACGTAAAAATATGTTGCCAGGTTTGGGGCGAGCATGCGTGTGTTCCCTGCTGCTGTGTTTGGATTTGTCAGCAGGTCTCAGCCAATGATTTATGGCTGAAACCTGCTGATCGGCTGTGTCCAATCACAGTACAGAATCCTGTGTTTACAACTCTGTACACAGAACATTGTGCATTTTGTATTTTTTGTATGTTCTTTACCTGTGAAAGCCTCACAAAAAAGGCCTGAGGCTGCGGCTGAGTGTCGCCATCTTGGATGTGACATCAGCAGCCCCACAGGTGACACTTATGCAGGCCATAGATGGGTTGAAAATCGGCCGATTTGTCGGCCGAAAATAAAATCGGCCGATTTTCGGATCGTTAGTGGGCGATTTGGTCGGCCGTTTTTCGGGATTTTGGCCGTTTTTTTTTTTTTGGTAAAGTTGGAAAAAAATCGGCCGATTTTCGCGGCATTAATGGGCCAATCGGCCGATTTTTTACCGATAAAAAATCTGCGCATGAGCAGTGACCTGCAAGAGGAAGACAAAAAGAAGAAGAGGAAGAGGATGAAGAAGAGGATGAAAAAGAGGATGAAGAAGAGGAAGAAGAAGATGAGGATGAAGAAGAAGATGAGGATGAAGAAGAGGATGAGGAAGAAGAAGAAGAGGATGAGGATGAAGAAGATGAGGATGAAGAAGAAGAAGAGGATGGGATGAAGAAGGAGGATGAGGATGATGAAGAAGAGGATGAGGATGAAGAAGAAGAGGATGAGGATGAAGATGAGATGAGGATGAAGAAGAGGATGAGGAAGAAGAAGAGGATGAGGAAGAAGAAGAAGAAGATGAAGAAGAAGATGAAGAAGAGGATGAGGATGAAGAAGATGAAGAAGAGGATGAGGATGAAGAAGAAGAGGATGAGGATGAAGAAGAAGAGGATGAGGATGAAGAAGAAGAGGATGAGGATGAAGAAGAGGATGAGGAAGAAGAAGAAGAAGAAGAAGAAGAAGAGGATGAGGATGAAGAAGATGATGAAGATGAGGATGAGGATGAAGAAGAAGATGAAGAAGAAGAAGAAGAGGATGAGGATGAAGGAGAAGAAGCAGAAGAAGAGGATGAGGATGAAGAAGAAGAAGAAGAAGAAGAAGAAGAGGATGAGGATGAAGAAGAAGAAGAGGATGAAGAAGAAGAAGAGGATGAGGATGAAGAAGAAGAAGAGGATGAGGATGATGAAGAAGAAGTAGGATGAAAATAAGAAGGATTCCAGTCCAGCAAAAAGTATCTCTGCAGAGAGCACCGCTATTTCTGACAGTTCACTGACAGTTCTTTGACATTTACAGCGGTTGAAACATTGTATCTATTTGTTTCCGAATAAAAACATCTGTATCCTAAATGGAAACAAATAGATACAATGTTTCAACCGCTGTAAATGTGAAGGAACTGTCAGAGAACTGTCAGAAATAGCGGAGCTCTCTGCAGGGACACTTTTTGCCAGCTGTAGAAGGGATGAAAATCGGCCGATTTTTTTTTACCATTGATGGTAACGTCGGCCGCTTGAACGACCGAATTTTCGTTTTTTAAAAGAAAAATCTGCCGTTTTTTCTCCCCATCTATGGCCTGCATTAGGCGACACTCTCTTCTAGGGCTGGGAAACTTTGGCCCTCCAGTTGTTGTAGAACTACATGTCCCATGAGGCATTGCAAAACTGACAGTTACAAGCATGACTCCCAAAGGCAGAGGCATGATGGGAAGACTGATGGTTACTCCCACAAGCAGATGCATGATGGGACTTGTAGTTCAGCGGTAGCTGGAGGGCCACAGTTTGCCCACCCCGGTATAGTATTTCCCTTCACTGCTCCCCTGGCTGCTAGATAATAGGTTATGTAGAAAGGGGTAGAGGAGCTGGGCCAGCACAGATAGCAATTAAACACTCTTAGAAGAGGAGGGGGGCTATGACACAGCATCGTCAGACTGAGGTCCAAGATGCGGGACTGTCCTATAATATCTGGGGACGTTGGCATGTTTGACCCATTCTTCTCCCAAACAATGTTTTGTTAAAATTTTCTTTCATAGAAAAAAACATATTATAAAACAAAGTGTAAAGTAGTACACAAATGGCAATCAAATACACAAAGTAACAAAATAAATAGAAAGAACAGAAAATGAAATGAACTACCCTAAATACACCCCCCCCCAAAAAAAAGCATCCCCTAAATAAAGAAAAAAAATAGCTATTTACTCCCCTTACATTAGAGTCCTCCCCTGTATGACAGCCCCCATCAGAGCTCCCCTTACATTAGAGCAGTGGTTCTTAACCTTTTTGGAGGTACTGAACCCCACCAGTTTCATATGCGCATTCACCGAACCCTTCTTAATTGGAAAAATAAAATATGATTTTTAAAATTCAAAACATAGGTATATATTTATACATAGGTGCACAAAATGAACAAAACCATTAAAACATGATTTTCACACAAAAACAAAATAATGAATATTTACCGCAAATCAGTGTGACTTCTGCTGTTGTCTTTCAGAGGCCAGTTCAGAAATGCGCGGCATTACCTTGGCAAGTGCCACTCTCATGTCATTTTCGCAACAAAGTCTGTTCCTTTTCTTCGTCTTTATGTCCAGCATCCTCGAAAAGGATTGCTCGCAAAGATATGTTGTAACAAACGGTATGAAAATTCATCCCCATAGTAATTCATCCCCCATATAGTAATTCATCCCCCATATAGTAATTCATCCCCCATAGTAATTCATCCCCCCCCATATAGTAATTCATCCCCCATATAGTAATTCATCCCCCCTATAGTAATTCCTTCCCCATATAGTAATTCCTTCCCCATATAGTAATTCATCCCCCATATAATAATTCATCCCCCATATAGTAATTCATCCCCCCTATAGTAATTCCTTCCCCATATAGTAATTCATCCCCCCTATAGTAATTCCTTCCCCATATAGTAATTCATCCCCCATTTAGTAATTCATCCCCCCTATAGTAATTCCTTCCCCATATAGTAATTCATCCCCCCTATAGTAATTCCTTCCCCATATAGTAATTCATCCCCCATAGTAATTCATCCCCCATATAGTAATTCATCCCCCATATAGTAATTCATCCCCCATATAGTAATTCATCCCCCATATAGTAATTCATCCCCCATAGTAATACATCCCCCCTATAGTAATTCATCCCCCCTATAGTAATTCATTCCCCATATTAATTCATCCCCCATATTAAGTCCCCAAGTCCCCCCTGTGTCAATTCACTTACCTTTGCTCCGCGCGTTCCTCTCGCTGTATTCCCGCGCCGTTCCGGTCTTCAGGGCGGACTGTGAGAGGAGCCTAGCTCCTCTCACGTTCGTCACGCTGCCCCGCCTACACACATCCTGACAGCCAATCACTGGCTATCAGGATGTGAGTGGCAGCGAGACTGGCCAATCATTGCATTTGAGTCCCTGCCGCCCGAGAGGAGGGAGGGGAGCGGGCGCGCCGGCACACAAGAGCCGCGGCTTGCCGACCACTGGGCTAAGCGATGTTGCGTGACCACCTGCAGCCAATGATGGACAAGCGGGGCATGTCATCACAAATCATATGAGTCGGGTGTGGGTCACCTCCGCGAACCCCCGAGACTGACTCACCGAACCCCTGGGGTTCGATCGAACCCAGGTTAAGAACCACTGCATTAGAGTCCTCCCCTGTATGACAGCCCCCATCAGAGCTCCCCTTACATTAGAGTCCTCCCCTGTATGACAGCCCCCATCAGAGCTCCCCTTACATTAGTGTCCTCCCCTGTATGACAGCCCCCATCAGAGCTCCCCTTACATTAGTGTCGTCCTCCTTACATCCTTGTCCCAATCAAAGCCCCCTCTATATCAAGGATCCTACTTAGGAGTCCCCCTATACATCAAGGTTTTCATCAGAGTTCCCCTTACAGCAGAGCCCCCATCAGAGCTCCCCTTACATCAGAGCCTCCATCAGAGCTCCCCTTACATCAGAGCCCCCATCAGAGCTCCCCTTACATCAGAGCCCCCATCAGAGCTCCCCTTACATCAGAGCCCCCATCAGAGCTCCCCTTACATCAGAGCCTCCATCAGAGCTCCCCTTACATCAGAGCCCCCATTAGAGCTCCCCTTACATCAGAGCCCCCATCAGAGCTCCCCTTACATCAGAACCCCCATCAGAGCTCCCCTTACATTAGTGTCCTCCTTACATCCTTGTCCCAAAGCCCCCTCTATATCAAGGTCCATCCTAGGAGTCCCCCTATACATCAAGGTTTTCATCAGAGCTCCCCTTACATCAGAGCCCCCATCAGAGCTCCCCTTACATCAGAGCCCCCATCAGAGCTCCCCTTACATTATAGTCCTCCTTACATCATTGTTCCAATCAAAGCCCCCTCTATATCAAGGTCCATCTTAGGAGTCCCCCTATACATCAAGGTTTTCATCAGAGCTCCTCTTACATCAGAGCCTGAATTAAAAATCCCCCTTACATCAGGGTCTCCATCAGAACCCCCTTACATCACAGTCCAACTTAGGAGGTTCCCCTTTACATTAGAATCCTCATCAGAACCCCCCTTACATCAGAGTTCCCCCTTACATCAGAGTCTGACTTGGCAGACCCCCTGACATCTGTGTTCCCATCAGAGCCCCTCTTACACCAGAGTCTGCCTTAGGATTCCCCCATTACATCAGGATCCTCATCAGAGCCTCTCTTACATCTGAGTTTGATTTGGAGTCTCCCCTTTACATCAAGGTCTCCATCAGAACCCCCCTTACATCACGGTCCCTATTGCAGCCTTGCTTACATCACAGTCTGCCTTGGGAGCCTCCCCCTTACATCAGGGTCCTCATCATAGCCCCCTTATATCAGAGGCCACCTTAGGAGTACCCCCTTACATCATGATGTTCATCAGAGCCCTCCTTACATCATAGTCCAACTTAGGAGTCCCCCCCCCTTACATCAGAATCCCAATCAGAGGCCTATCTTACATTAGGGACCCTATCAGAGCCCCCTTTACATCAGCTTAGGAGTCCCCCTCCACCCCTACATCAGAGTCCCCATCAGAGCCCCCTAACATCATGTCCCCATCAAAAGGGGAACCTGACCCAAGCTATGGGCTTGACGCAATCCTGTAGTTGGCTGGATGTGGCCCCTCTGGCCATAGTTTGAGGACCCCTGAACCCCAACACCATGATCTTGCTTTACATTTAACTGACTTTTGCTCGATCCAGGGGCGGACTGACCATTTGGAAACTGGGGCACTGCCCGAGGGCCCGGGGTCAGTAGGGGGCCCCATAAGATGCCCCTGGTACCTTTTTCATAGGCTTTTTTGAGTTTGGGCAAGGACACAGGGGCCCCATGATCCCCTATTGCCCGGGGGCCCCATGAGTTGTCAGTCCGCCCCTGCTCCGATCAATCCTGACCGTATAAATAGCCGCTCGAGGTTTATCCAGAAATGCATTTACTTTCCTTAGGATGCTCTGCACACTGCGAGGGACTGCCCGGTGACTGTAATAATTCTAGTTAACATGGATGGCTCTAGCCAACAATTTACAAGATAGTGCTCAATAAATACTTCTGCCGCGGATTATAAATAGCTGGCGCGCTCTGAAAGCCACAAGCAACCCCACTGATCCCTCTTTATTAAATCTATCGCTGGCGGATGAGCCATTTCATGCCGCAATGTAGAAGAATGTGCCTGTATTAACCGCGGAATGTGTTAAACTGCTGCCGTACCAGGAAAATATACATTGTGACCAATATTACTGTAAGGGATGGGAGGACGCGATTCCGCTACATAGGATCACTGCTGAAAGGACCGGCGTTTATACGCCAGCGGCACGCCGCGAAAATGCTAACAGCCTTATTGTCAAGGAGATAACAGTTTTCATGGTGTTATTTTTATCTCACAAAAAGAGTATTATTATAATGCCAGGAGTGAATATAGAGCATCTAGAACGAAACCGGACACATTTCTGTCTTCATTTCTTAACCAATTCAATACCGGGCAATTTTACACCTTCCTGCCCAGGCCATTTTTCACGTTTCCGCGCTCTCACACTTTGAATGACAATTGCGCGGTCATACAACATTGTACAAAAATAACATTTTATCATTTTCTTCACACAACTAGAGCTTTCTTTTGGTGGTATTTAATCACCGCTGGGGTTTTTATTTTTTGCTAAATTAACAAAAAAAGACCAAAAATTTTGAAAAAAACACGTTTTTCTTTGTTTCTGTTATAAAAGTTTACAAATAAATAATTGTTCTTCATAAATTTAGGCCGAGATGTATTCTGCTACATGTCTTTGGTGAAAATAACCCAAATTAGGATGTATTATTTAGTTTGTAGGAAAGTTATAGAGTTCACAAACTATGGTATCTGAATATTGATCAATCCTGAAGTACTGACAGCCAATCTAATTTCTTGAGGTCCAAGAATGTCAGAACAGTACAGATATCCCCCAAATGTCAGGACGGTACAGATATCCCCCAAATGTCAGGACGGTACAGATATCCCCCAAATGTCAGGACAGTACAGATATCCCCCAAATGTCAAAACAGTACAGATATATCCCCCAAATGTCAGGACAGTACAGATATCCCCCAAATGTCAGGACGGTACAGATATCCCCAAATGTCAGGACAGTACAGATATCCCCCAAATGTCAGAACAGTACAGATATCCCCCAAATGTCAGAACAGTACAGTCAGAACAGTATATCCCCCAAATGACCCCTTTTTGCAGAGTAGACAGTGAAGTTTTTTTTGTCATAATTTTTCGGAAAATGAAAAAATTAAAAAAATTATTTTCACTATTTTTTTTTTACATACTGTCACGAGTGCAGTACAGCGTCATCATATAACTGGCATGGCGGTGATCAGGGACACTGACTGGTGACAGTATGAAAAAAAAAAAAATATATATATATATTTTTTTTTAAGATTTGTTTTCATATTTTACTATGACCAAAGTAGTACAATGTTACCATAGTAACATTGTACTACTTTGGGGAAGTGATCAGTATTTTTTTTTTTTTTACACAATTTGCTTATAGCAAAGAATTACTTTGCTATAAGCAAGCATTTACCTGAATGACATCAATTCATTCAGGTTTTCGTTTTTTTTTTTTTTTTGGCTTACCTGTGATTTGGCCACAGCTAATCACATGACATGTGCATGTGACCTGCTGTGACCATTCACAGTTAGGCACTAGTATACAATGGATGGCATGAATGAAGCCATCCATTGTACACAACTGTCATGTGACCTGCTGTGATTGGTCACAGCAGGTCACATGGCACCGGCAACGGGGGCCGGTACTCAGATCTGTCATCGGCCGTGTCCGAGGTACACGGCTGGTGACAGATCGCGCTGCTGCACGGCCCTGCAACCGCGCGAACTGCGCATGTGCGGGAGGACGCCAAATGGCGTGCACCCAGAAAGGTAATACATTTTTGCCGCCGCCAAACGGCTATAGGCCGGGTGGCTAATGGTTAAAGAGACTGAGTAACAATTGGTTTTGTACATATTTTATTATTTTTTTCAGGATCAAAAGAAACATTTTTAAACACATTTTAACACCTATGGAATATTGCATGTTAATATATACAGGTGAAACTAAAAAAATTAGAATATGGTGCAAAAGTTCATTTATTTCAGTGCAGCAACTTAAAAGGTGAAACTAATATATGAGATAGACTCATTACATGCAAAGCAAGATAGTTCAAGCCGTGATTTGTCATCATTGTGATGATTATGGCTTACAGCTCATGAAAACCCCAAATCCACAATCTCAGAAAATGAGAATATTGTGAAAAGGTGGAATATTCTCGGCTCAAAGTGTCCCACTCTAATCAGATAATTAAGCCATAACACCTGCAAAGGGTTCCTGAGCCTTTAAATGGTCTCTCAGTCTGGTTCAGTAGGAATCACAATCATGGGAAAGACTGCTCACCTGACACCATCATTGACACCCTCCATAAGGAGGGAAAGCCTCAAAAGGTAATTGCAAAAGAAGTTGGATGTTCCCAAAGTGCTGTATCAAAGCACATTAATAGAAAGTTATGTGGAAGGGAAAAGTGTGGAAGAAAAAGGTGCACAAGCAGCAGGGATGACCGCAGCCTGGAGAGGATTCTCAGAAAAAGGCCATTCAAAAGTGTTGGGGACTTTCACAAGGAGTGGACTGAGGCTGGAGTCAGTGCATCAAGAGCCACCACACACAGACGGATCCTGGACATGGGCTTCAAATGTCATATTCCTCTTGTCAAGCCGCTCCTGAACAACAAACAACGTCAGAAGTGTCTTACCTGGGCTAAAAAAAAACAGACCTGGTCTGTTGCTCAGTGGTCCAAAGTCCTCTTTTCTGATGAGAGCAACTTTTGCATCTCATTTGGAAACCAAGGACCCCGAGTATGGAGGAAGAATGGAGAGGCCCAAGGACCCCGAGTATGGAGGAAGAACGGAGAGGCCCAAGGACCCTGAGTATGGAGGAAGAATGGAGAGGCCCAAGGACCCCAAGTATGGAGGAAGAATGGAGAAGCACAAGGACCCAAGTATGGAGGAGGAATGGAGAGGCCCAAGGACCCCGAGTATGGAGGAAGAATGGAGAGGCCCAAGGACCCCGAGTATGGAGGAAGAATGGAGAGGCACACGCTGCAAGATGCTTGAAGTCCAGTGTGAAGTTTCCACAGTCTGTGTTAATTTGGGGAGCCATGTCATCTGCTGGTGTTGGTCCACTGTGCTTCATTAAGTCCAGGGTCAACGCAGCTGTCTACCAGGAGATTTTGGAGCACTTCATGCTTCCTTCCGCAGATGAGCTTTATGGGGATACTGACTTCATTTTCCAGCAGGACGTGGCACCCGCCCACACTGCCAAAAGCACCAAAACTTGGTTCAATGACCATGGGATTACTGTGCTTGATTGGTCAGCAAACTCGCCTGACCTGAACCCCATAGAGAATCTATGGGGCATTGCCAAGAGAAAGATGAGAGACATGAGACCGAACAATGCAGAAGAGCTGAAGGCCGCTATTGAAGCATCCTGGTCTTCCATAACACCTCAGCAGTGCCACAGGCTGATAGCTTCCATGCCACGCCGCATTGAGGCAGTAATTGCTGCAAAAGGGGCCCAAACCAAGTACTGAGTACATATGCATGCTTCTACTTTTCAGAGGTCCGATATTGTTTCTATGTACAATCCGTGTTTTATTGATTGCATGTAATATTCTCATTTTCTGAGATTGTGGATTTGGGGTTTTCATGAGCTGTAAGCCATAATCATCACAATGATGACAAATCACGGCTTGAACTGTCTTGCTTTGCATGTAATGAGTCTCATATATTAGTTTCACCTTTTAAGTTGCTGCACTGAAATAAATGAACTTTTGCACAACATTCTAATTTTTAGAGTTTCACCTGTAGCATTCCTTTTTTTAGCCAGCTTCCAGCTCCTTGTGTAAGCTTACAGGCTCTATTACCTCCTTTGATGAAATAACCTGGTGTTTACAGAGCTCCATAGCTCAAGCTGCCAATTCGCACAAGTGAATTGCTTATTGCAATGGCTCATTCTTTTTTGGACAGCTCTGTGCTGTCAAGGAGAGGGGTCTGTATCCATTGAAAGGGAGACAGTTCAGGCAATATAGAAGCATACCTGAAGCATCCCAGGATTACACCGGATGCTCTGAGGGCACTGTGTGTGACAGGATGCTCAGGGGTAGCTGGGTGACACAGGATGCTGTGGAGTCAATGGATGTCATAGGGTTCTGTGAAGTGACTGGGGGGCACAGGACACTCTGTGATCATTGGGTAATACAGAAGCACTGGGGAAACTGGACTCACAAGAGCACAGGGGTCACTTAAGACACAAGTGTCACTGAAGGCACAAGGGTCACTGGAAACACAGGAGCACAGGGGTCACTGAAGACACAGGAGCACAGGGGTCACTGAAGATACAGGAGCACAGGGGTCCCTGGAGACACAGGAGCACAGGGGCCACTATAGGCACAGGAGTCCCTGGAGACACAGGAGCACAGGGGCCACTATAGGCACAGGAGTCCCTGGAGACACAGGAGCACAGGGTTCCCTGGAGACACAGGAGCACAAGGTTCCCTGGAGACACAGGAGCACAGGGGTCACTGAAGACACAGGAGCACAGGGGTCACTGAAGACACAGGAGCACAGGGGCCACTATAGGCACAGGAGTCCCTGGAGACACAGGAGCACAGGGGTCATTGAAGATACAGGAGCACAGGGGTCACTGAAGACACAGGAGCACAGGGGCCACTATAGGCACAGAAGTCCCTGGAGACACAGGAGCACAGGGGTCCCTGGAGACACAGGAGCACAGGGGTCACTGAAGATACAGGAGCACAGGGGTCACTGAAGACACAGGAGTCACTGAAGATACAGGAGCACAGGGGTCCCTGGAGATACAAGAGCACAGGGGTCCCTGGACACACTAGAATCGCTGGAAACACACAAGTCACTAAATGCACAGGAGCATAGGGGTCACCGGAGACACAGGACTCAACAGAAGTCATGGGATGCTGTGAGGTCAATGGGTGACTTAGAAAGCTCAGGGGTCAGTGGATAACACAGGATGCTCTGGGGTCACCGAGTGAAGCAGTCCTGTCTAAACAGTTCATGTTGAAACTGGGGTTTTAATTTGCACACATTTTCAAATATATATGTAAGCTACAGAGGCCACGTCATGGCACCAAAGTATATCTTCAGTTCTAAGTCTATTGCAGGCCATAGACGGGTCGAACATCGGCCGATTTTTCGAACGATAAACGAAAAATTGGTCGTTCGTTCAGCCGACGTTACCACCAAAGAATAAAAAAATTGTCTGACTAAATCAGAAAGTTCACCCCATAACATCTGTCCCTTTCAGGTCACAGCTCATGCGCAGATTTTTTTTTGTTAAAACAATCGTCCGATTTGGCCATCATTGCCGGGAAAATCAGCTGATCGTCCAAATCGGCCGCAAATTTCCCAACATAACCGATAATCTGAAAGTGCAAAAAACATGAAAAACGGCCGACGAACTAATCCACCAACGGTACGAAAATCGGCCGATTAACGACCCATCTATGGCCTGCATAATGCAGGCCATAGATGGGGAGAAAACCGGCCGATTTTTCTTTAAAAAAATGAAAAATCGGTCGTTCATGCGGCCGACGTTAGCAGGAACGGTAAAAAAAATTGGCCGAATTTCATCCCGTCTACAGCTGGCAAAAAGTGTCCCTACAGAGAGCTCCGCTATTTCTTTGACAGTTCTTTGACATTTATAGCGGCTGTAACAATGTATCTATTTGTATCCATTTAGGATACAGATGTTTTTATTCGGAAACAAATAGATACAATATTACAGCCGCTATAAATGTCAAAGAACTGTCAAAGAAATAGCGGAGCTCTCTGTAGGGACACTTTTTGCCGGACTGGAATTCTTCATCCTCTTCTTCTTCATCCTCTTCTTCTTCATCATCCTCTTCTTCCTCTTCATCCTCTTCTTCCTCTTCTTCTTCATCCTCTTCATCATCCTCTTCTTCTTTTTCTTCATCCTCTTCTTCATCCTCTTCTTCTCCTTCTTCTTCATCCTCTTCTTCTTCTTCTTCCTAATCCTCTTCTTCATCCTCTTCTTCTTCCTCTTCTTCTTCCTCTTCTTCATCCTCTTCTTCTTCTTCCTCTTCTTCT